GCTGAAGAGCAAACTTCAAATTTAATTCTAAACAAATTTTCTAGAATAACAGAATCAATTTTTTTCTAATTTCAGACTTAATGAAACATAAATTGCTTATGGTAAGACTAAATTCGCAATTAGATTAAATTAAAAATTCGAAACAATAAATTGCAATAATCACCGTCTGCCTTTTAACATAACCTAATAGGATACTTCCCGTTGCATATGCAGGCCGCAATGCGTTTGAGCGCCATTTGCCCTTTGGCCCTTGCTAATTTGTGAGTGACCTTAAGTTTCAATTATATGAGATCGTTTTATATGACGTTAAAAAGCGCCCTTTACGATTCGACGTCCGGTTGGCGGGCGAGAACAAACAATTTAGATCATGCTATACCCGCTTTTAATTCCCGGGATTCCACTTAGACGATTTTACACCGCCGGTTAATAAAACTATCGACTAATTGCTGGCGAGCGCCACGCTTATTACCGATGTCTCGAATTTCAAAAGAAAAAATTCTCATCGCATTATCAAGAGTATGCAGTCGAGGTCCAGTCCCAAAACACGTGTCGATCTATATATAACTGACTGAAACACGCGCACCCTTCTGATCTCTATGCTTCAAGCTCGACAATAGTACTATATAATTTAATTTAACATACTGACATTTGTGAAATAATAGACCCTGAATGCCATACTCGATGATATATTCGGTTTTTTTTTTAATAGTCTTTTTCGAAAACCTCTGTTTACTTCATTGCTTATAACTTTTTTTTATTAACAAAGATACATACATTTGCTTGATATTCTTTACTCACTTCAATTCACTGTATTCCTACATGAAGGTTCGATTGAAAAAAATTTATTATAATACGTTAATTTTTATTTAAAAGTTATAAGTAATCAAAGTTTGGTTGGGTACGTCATGCATATTGCAGTGTGTTCCACTCGAGAAAACGATAGCGTGATATTGAAGAATTAGAAAAAATTAGTAAGATATTATAAAAAATAGCGCATTTTACTGAATGGCATAATATCATTGATTTCTTGATTCTCAATCATTACTTAACATTAGGATCATTTAACAAAAAACCAAACCTAAAACTAACAAAAGAAGTCTAAAATAATTCTATCAACTTTAAGTTCAATTTTCGATATTCCTTCATCTACAATCGCTGTTTTATTCTCTCCGTTTGTAATCTTTTTTTTTTCAGTTCAAAATTTTGTATTCTGTTCTAAAAATGGGAAAATTCAGAAATACTTTTCAATAACTCTCGATAATGTAACAATTATCGAATATACATTATAAAATATTTAGAGGAAGGGAATCAAACTTCGATTTCCTTTATTTCAGAAAAATTAGAGAGTGAATTTCGCTTGTGCCAAAAAAGACGAAGGATTATGATAAGTATATAACTTCAAATTCATCAGTAGTTTTCTTCTAATAGTAGAACTATATAACTCGCTAAATAACATTCAATATATAAAAGAACAATAAAAGAATGTTATTATGTGTTAAATGAATTGATAAAATTCCAATCTTGGTACTTTGATCCCCATTTTATTGGAAGTTCAACATCAGACGGTTCGTACCCGATGTTCAACGTGCGCTAAGCGACTTACGGTGTTTGCAGTGTGCGTCGACGGAAATAGCGTTACAGCCAAACAGCGTGCAGAGAAAAGAAGATAGAGAGCAACGCGGAGAGAAGCGTCACGCACGAAGGAGAGAAGAAACCTTCAAGTTCTGCCCAGAAGAAGACGAAAGAGAGAGAGAGAAAGGCGTGGCGAAATGGACGCGGTGAGAACGACATGGAACGAATTTCCGAAACGAAACCAAGAAGGAGGAAAGCAAAGGAGGAAAGTAAAGGAGGAAAAGTGAAGAGACGTTTCGAAGGCGAATGGGACAGGCACAGCGGTGGAGAGAAGACAGGCACAGAGAGGACGAAAAGGAAGAGACAAAAAAGGAATAAAGGGAATACGAAGAGCGAGAAGAAGCATAGTAGATTCTTCCTTTTCTAGAGGGACAGGTGCACGCCTCTATTTTGGCGATGTCGGCCGAATGTTCAGTCCAATCTCGTAGAGCGAAATCGCAACATTCCGCCACACAGCTCCTCCGCACAAGCAAGCTCTTCGACCGCTTCTCCTTGGTCTCTTCCGATCTTTCTTTAACCATGCGAGCTTGCGACATCTTCGTGGTATGTCGCTCCTCTGATTTTCCACCCTGTCTCATGTATACGAAAATTACATAATGCATCGTTTAATGATTTTCTCTGATGTCGTTTTTAGAATCTTTCAATAATTCTTCGAAATTTATCTTGAGTATTATAAAAGCTTCTTTCTCACAATGTTAAATATCAAAGGAGTAATGATAATCCTTTCAGTTAAATAACAATTTATTATTTTTAACTTCATATATGTCAAAATTAATCCATTTCTGTGGTTACCTTCAAAGTAAACATTAACATATACATTTAGTAAATAATAAACTATTAGATGTGGGAAAAAGTTCGTGGCGTTTTTTTAATGCCATTTAACGGGAAAAAACGCCATGAACTTTTTTCCATACCTAATAAATTCGAATCAAATTTAGTACATTTTCTAACGATGACGAGTAGGAACAATGATGAGCTACAAAAATAATTAAAAATAATTCAAATTGGATTGTAAAATTTGACATTACAAATTTAATAGTGCAAAAATATAAATATAATTAATTAATTTTATGCAAATAGAACACGCTGAGCATATTTTCGACACTTCTAACGAATAAAATAAAAGAAATATAAAAACTTTTTATTTCTGTGTTAAACTTTGGAAAGATAAAAGTTCCCAAAATATCACGAGAAGTTCAAAAAATCTTGTAATGTGACTTCAAAGCAATTCGTTTAAGTGGACTTCTCAAAGATACTAGTAACACTGTAAGATACTACGTAAAGAGACAAAATTGCCAGTTAAATTTATCTAGATTTCCATATTGTGTTATAATTAAAAATAGGTATGTACACTGTACAAAGTGAAAATAATAATGGCAATTTATAAATATGTAATTTTACTGGCTTTTAATTTTACTCAAATTATTTAATGTAAAATTTAATAGCTTCTCTCTCTCTCTCTCTCTCTCTCTCTCTCTTCTTCATTATTACTCTTATAGAGTTATTATATCAATTGTAATATAAACAAAAATAATTTTAACGCATTTCAAATAATTAAATACATTAGTATTACTATTTATAGATTTACTGTATCTATAATAAGAACATCCACGAACATATAACCACGATAACTACGTTCTGCTTTTGAATAAAGCATTTTGAACTTTAAGTAAAGCTTCTCGTCGATTTAATTTTCATCATATTTCACATGAAATAATAGCTCTCAACAGAGTTTATGTATGAAAACATTGTAGCTTACATCCGATTAGCCCGTTCACATAAATTTTGACGATGGTTAAAATTAAAAAGTTATTTCACTCTGTCGTTGCTTCTTCCACTTTGTTTGTTTCTCGTGCGATGGTCCTATATCTTTCTCGCCCGCATTTGAGTTAAAAGCAAGAAAAAGGAAAAAGAAAGAATCGCTTTATGCCTCCATACGTGGAATGACGAAAGGAATAGCTACGAAAACTCGAAGAATTCGGGAACGCTGAATTCTCAGCGCCAGAAAATGCGAAACGACGGCGTCTCGCATCGGCATCTTTCTCCGTGATGCCGTTGTATTTCGCTGCTTTCTTTCTCGATGCTATTTTCTAGTCGCTTTACATGCCACGTTATTCTCGCGCGTGCCGAAAGCGCCGCGCGATCCACGGTCGAAATACCGATGCAAGTATATGTCGAATGTAGAAGAATTCCGTCTTAATTAAGGCGGCAACTTTTAACGAAAAGCAATTACGCATTTTATAGAATGATAGTAATATTTTCATCGAATCAATCATTTTTTCATGGAAAAAATGATTTAGCTGAAATATTTAAAAATGTAGGAAAATACACACAGATCTGAAAATTTAATTAAAAATAAAGCATAATAAAGTGTAATAAAAAAATGTGACATTCCAGCAATTTGAAAGTCCTATTAGTTGTTTAGACAATAATTATTTTAATATTAATTGTTAAGATAATATTAATTTTTCTAATTTTTTTGATCATCTAACAACACGATTTCTAGACCTTTATCTAAATTTTTAATATACTTTTTCTTATACATGAAAAAAAAGGTGGAATAATAATTTTTATCTTATAAGATTTGTAAAAATATTCTGGTATTTTTGCGGAACTTTTGACAAACTTTACTTACTTCAAAGTAAAAATAGCACAGATGTAAGATAAAAATAAAGTACATTACAATTATAATAAATCTATTTAAGTTATTTTATAATAATGTACATCATATTATTCTCAAGATTGTAAACATGAACTCCAAATTGTATATACTTGTACTTTTTACCGCGCAATAAAGTAAATTTTGTCAGTCGAAATAAAAAGTACTTCCCAATAAAGTAAATTCTATTGAGATATATGGTAATTTAGATTTGTTTTACGAAATGTATAAAGTATCTTACAATATTTAATGTTCGCTCATTTATCAGAAAAATAAAATAAATCTTACATAAGTGAAGCCCTGGCTCTATATAATAAATTTTATGGACTTGTCAATTCCATAAAATTTAGAATCCTAGCGCATACTATTCTACATTTTTCTATGTATATAAAAAGATCAATTATTCTTTTATTAATGATACTTTTATTATAAAATAAACTGAAGATACTTTTTAAATAGAGTTTCTGACTATGTATTAATCTTTTTCTTTTACTGCTTGCCTTGATCTAGCCGCTTTCTCGTCCTCATTAATTTCATGCCACGGTTGACCGGTCCGAGGGAAGAGGACCCCACGCCGCTAAGTGCGAACGAAAAATGTTAGACGCCAACGAGAAATGTGACGGAATCAGGACTCATGCGTACACACACATACATACACATGGATATATATACACAGTATTGAAGCCGCAGCATGTGTCAGTTGGACTGAATGGACGCCTTGAAACGCCACGAGATTTATCGATGCATTAGTGCTCCTGAAGTCAGCCGGGCGAGTCGCGTGGCTGACGCCTCTCGTCCGGCAATTTCCAGATTTATCGGAGAATTCGGAGGTAGAGATCTTCAAGGCCAATTATTTGCCTTGTCCAAAAAGTGCATTGACTCCAGCCCGAGTGAGCTCGATTCGAGCGATCGGAGGTAAGTATTGTGAAAAAGGTGAAGAATGAAAGAAAATAATGCAGGCAGAAGCACGCGGAGAAATCGGCTGTAAAAATAAATTGAAAATGTAAATTTATACTCGAGAAATTAGAAGTAAGAACATCGCTTGTATATGCGTAAAAATAGCAAATTTATGTTATCAGAACTTAAGTCTCTGATCTCTCTCGTCATAAAAATTTGTATTAAGGGATAAGGGAATCATCTCGAAATGGCTAAAAAGTTATTAACTTTACTTACTTACACGATCCAAGTTATGAGATTCATATTCATAAGAGTTCCTACTCTAGAAAGATGAGTGTACATATATATATATATATATATATATATATAT